CAACTTTTTACTTTTGGACTTTTTACATATACGTGTTTGACTCTTGATATTTAGTTATTTTAATGAATGACCAAAATAAAATTATTCAAAAACAAACAATCCAAAAAAAAATTGTACATAGGGTCCAAACATGTTTTCTTTTCTTTCTTTTTTTAAAGATTTCTTTTTGGGCTTTTTTGCCTTTATTTAAGAGACTGGACAGCTGATAGAGTGGGAAATCAGGGACAGAAACCCTTTTCACACATACGGAAATCTCCTGAAAAACTCCAGAGATTTGGCTACCCAAACAGGCTTTAGGCTATGTGTGAACGCAATCAGCCACATTTTTCGCGCGGACTTTCTCCGGAGTTTCTCCGGCCACACCCCTAGTATTTTATCTGCAGAAAATCCGAGTGAGCTGATGTCTGAACGCGACCGCATATACTCCGGAGATTTCAATTTGAGCCAATGGAAAGAGAATGACGTGACTATTACGATCTCCGTGCACGTAATTAAACAGCTGCATTATGTTTTCTGTTCGTCAGTATGTTGTTCTCCACTCTTTTGTGGATGTTGTCATTCCATTGGACTACACATAGCATTGATATAAAGGCACACAATCCCCAATCCCCCTCCCCTCTGACAGGGATAGTCCCCCGCTGTGAGGAGCATATGTGAAAGGCTAGGTCAGGAGAATCTCCGGAGAAGTCCTCCTGTAAATATCTAGATATTATCCGGAGTGCATATGTGAAAACGGCTAGAGAGCGAGTGAGGAATGACATGGGGAAAAGGAGCCACAGGTCAGACCTGAACCTGCTCCGAGGGCTACTGCACATGGGGTGCCCAAATTAACCACCTGGCAACCGGTGTCCAAGACATGTTTTCTGATTTCACTTCCCTCAGAGTTTAACCATCACATTATCTGCCAAATGTTTAAGATAACACAATTTTTTTTTTAATTAACAGGGCCTACTGAAAATGACTCTACAATTCTACAATTCACTTAGCAGATGCTTTTATCCACAGTGACGTACATCAGAGAGTAAGTACAACACAAGCAAGGATCTAGAAAAAAGGAAACAACGTCAGTAAGTGAAAACGATCAGCTTTGAGTCCGATTGGACACACAGGTGCTGACAGGCATTGCACAGAGGCAAAGCACGATATTGACGGCAGTTCTTGTTCTAATCAGTATAGAAACCATCTTAAAAGTTGTCGTTATCAAACAAAACCATCGTCATTACCATCATCATCATCAATCAGTCAGGAGAAGAGTCTAGTTAGCGTCTAAGGACCCTGTTGTGAAGGTTGGATCAGACTTCTTTCATTAGCAGTGCGTAGTGTGCGGGAGGAAGTGTAGACCTGGATTATAGAGTTTAGGTAAGGAGGAGCCGTTTTTGTAGCTGTTTTGTAAGCGAGCAGCAGAGTTTTAAATTTGATGCGAGCAGTAACTGGGAGCCAGTGTAAGGAGATGAACAGCGGAGTGACGTGCTCTTTTAGGAAGGTTGAAGACCAGTTGTGCTGCTTCATTTTGTATCATCTGCAGGGGTTTGATAGTGCATGTAGGAAGACCTGCCAGTAGAGAGTTGCAATAATCCATGCATGATATCACAAGAGCCTGTACCAGGAGCTGTGTAGCATGTTCTGACAGGTAAGATCTGATCTTCCTGATGTTGTACAGGGCAAATCGACATGACCGGGCAATCGAGGCTACTTGAACCTTAAAAGTTAGCTGGTCATCAATCATGACGCCCAGGTTCCGGGCATACTTTGTGGGCATGAGTTTGGTTGTACTAAGCTGGATATTGATCTGTGGTTGCATAGAGGGACTGGCTGGAATGACAAGGAGCTCAGCCTTTGAAAGATTGAGTTGAAGGTGGCGTTCATTCATCCATTTAGAGATATCAGCAAGGCATGACAAGATTCTTGCTGAGACTGTAACATCGTCTGGCGGGAATGACAGGAAGAGCTGGGTATCGTCAGCATAGCAGTGGTATGAGAAGCCATGAGAGCGGATTATTGAACCAAGTGAGTATTGTGTATATATATTGTGTATATGGAGAAGAGAAGGGGACCAAGCACTGACCCTTGAGGTACCCCTGTGGATAAGCTGTGCGCTTTGGACACTTCTCCCTTCCACAACACTCTAAAGATCGCCCGGAGAGGTAGGACACAAACCAGCAGAGGGCAGATCCTGAGATGCCAAGTTCAGAGAGTGTGGACAGGAGGATGTGATAGTTAACTGTGTCAAAGGCAGCAGACAGGTCTAGCAATAATAAAACTGAGGACTGACCCGCAGCTCTAGCAGCTCGTAGTGATTCTAAGTCTCAGTAGAGGGGTCCCGCTTAAAGCCTGACTGATTTGGGTCAAACAGATCGTTTCTGGACAGGAACTCAGAGACTTGATTAAAGACTGTGTGCTGGAGTATAATTAACAGAAAGGGCAGAAGAGAAATTGATCTGTTTCAACCTGGGCTGGGTTTAGTGTGGGTTTTTTGAGCAGACGGGTAACCCAAGCTTGCTTGAATGCAATGGGGAACACACCTGTTGACAGAGAGGAGTTGATGATATGCTTAAGTTCAGCATTAAGTGGAGAGGAAATGGTCTGCAGGAGGCTTGATGGTATTGGGTCCAGAGGACAGGTGGTGGGCTGAGAGTCTAGCACAAGCTTAGAGAGTTTATCCTCAGTCAGAGAGGTGAATGAGTTGAGTGAGTCACTTTTGGTTGGTGCCTGAGTTGATCATGCTCAGAAAATTGGTTACTGATGGTTGCAACCTTTTCAGTAAAATATGAGTCAAATATGTCTGGTGTGAACAGATCGGAGGGTGGTGGAGGAGATGGTTGAAGCGATGAGTTAAAAGCAGAAAACATTATTATGCATATCTTGTTGTGATAAAAATGTTATCTTGGCCTTTTTCAGGCTGGAGGAAAATGAGACAAGTATTTGCTTATAGTCTTTGAGGTCAGCGGACTGTTTGGATTTTTGCCATTTTCTCTCTGCTGACCTCAGCCCTGCTCTTTGCTCTCTTAGGACTTCAGTGAGCCATGGACTAGGTTTTGCGAGCGGGTTTTGACACTAGAGGGCAGAGTTTGTTCAGAGATGAGGCTAGTGTGGCGCAGAGTATGTCTGTAGCCTCGTCTGTAGAGAGTGCGGTAAAGACCTTATGGGCAGGCATAGCAGCCATTACTCATTAGACAGCTGTGCTGGCTTAAGCGATCAAATGTTTCGGTGGTATAAAACCATTTGTGGGTGTGCCTGAGGGAATTCCGGCACGGAGATTGTGAATTGAATAAAGAATTGGTCTGATAGATGCAGAGGGATGACAGTCAGGTTTGCTGTCCAGCTGTTCGGAGTCAGATTAAATCTAGAGTGTTGCCAGCTTTGTGAGTTGGAGGAGTTGGGACCTGCGTGAGGTCAAATGAGCAAAAGAGAGCAAGGAAGTCTGTTGCCTGGGCAATGTACATTTTAACGCAAGCAGAAATCATCATTGTGTGATATTCAAATGAGTTGTTGCTCAGTGGGAAGAGTTTCCAGGTATTAGAAATGAGGATACCTGTTCCACCTCCAAGTCCAACAGAGCCTGTGTCTGATCAGACTCAAAGCTGATCGTTTGCACTTACTGACATTTCCTTTTTCTAGATCCTTGCTTGTGTTGTACTTACTGTTGTGGCTATTTGTCCAAAAAACAAATTAAGTTAAAATTATAAACAAACCACATAAACTCAACAAACCTCCTGGCAGCCCTATGAGACCGGAGATTGGCTGCGTGCGTGGATCGTCTTGCTAGAGTTATCATCCATAACGTCCTACAAACCTTGACTGCAAATTTGTAGAAGACTGCCTACGGTTCCTAAGTGCTGAAAGGTTTAGGAAACAGTTTTCTTGGGTTGTTGTCTTCTTGGGAAGCTCACTTCACGGCCTGTCTCTGACATCCCCTGTTATAAGTAACTTGGCCTTCAGTTTGGAGATGGTAGTAGGTCTCACTCCAAATAATGCTGCAACTTGGTTGTACGGGACACCAGCTTGAAGTAGCCCTATGGCACAGGCCCTACCCAAATCAATCAAACATGTCATGTTTAGAGCAGACACCAAGTGACCAGTGTAGGAGGGCCCATGCTCACACGTGCTGCCAATCAGGTGCAAATCAGGCACCCGATTGTCAGCACCTGGGGTATCAGAAGCTCAAAACAAGGGTCAATAGCAAGAGCAGAATAAGCTGTTTCCATTGGCAGAGAAGATTTGCCAAGTTTTTCATGGGCACAACCCACTTACTCAGCTCTGCTGCTTCCCCCACAAATGCCTGTTCCTTACAAACCATTTAAAAGGGAAATAAACGGCTTTCAAACGGTATAAGATTTATTGCAAGGAAGCATTGTTACAACAAAGAAATAATCTACCAAATACAAATACCTTTTTGTGCGACGTTCATATATGTTTGTTTTATATTTGTTAAATAATTATGTGTTTGTATTCGTTTAAAACAAACTGACTCAAAAATATACTCATAATGCATTATTCTTCAACGAACAAAGAATAAAATGTGAAAGTACAGTATGATCTAAAATGCAAAAGTGTGCCTGTGAATTCACAGCACCCACAGTTCCCCCAGTGGAGAGGGGTGTCATTACAATGAAAGAAGAATCCATCTCAGGATTTCCCTGAATCACATTAAATTGGGAAAATAATAATTGCAATGCATTGATGAATCGATTTTTTTAACCAGCCCTATTGTAATGATGCTGGGGAACCTGTGGAAACTTCAGGCAAACATGTTGCTCCTGCACAATTAAGTGACGGTAAAGTAATTATCAGTGTGCCACGGTCAATTTATTTTTTCATTGTATGTTCCAGCAATCATTCAGCACCTGAGAACCGCAGTTGGCTGTGCACAGGGTACTCTGTTTGTCATGTATATTACACTTTGGTTATTATGAATAGGTTTCCTGCTTATATGACAAATCTCAAAAATAAGCTCAGGTGCTTTATCAACTTTTAAAATAACTACTTATAAAACCAACCCATTTTACTTTTTAAACATAATCATTTTATTTATTTTTTACAAAATATAATAATTATAAACAAACATAACAGAAGCTGTATAATACATAAATTGCTAAAGGAAAAGGAAACATAAAGAGTTGGCAGTGATTCAGTGCTGTTTCCTGCCTTCATGGTCTTGTTCTGAACCCCTCCCATGTAAACAATCCAAGACAAAACGAACATTGAACTGCACCCGGCTTTGCTTTGAACAGGAATCACAGAAAGAGCTCCACATTTACAGACAGAAACAAGAAATATTGGTAACACAGATGAAGGGAAGGTGAGGCTACATCTTTTCCTTCCTTGAAACTATTCCTGTGACTTACACATAACCGACATGCATAAGAAAATACATATGTTTTTACGACTTGATACACAAAATTTGTTATTCTAAAAAAAAACTTCATGACAGTCTGAAAGCGGAAATTGATTGAAAGAAACCTGGGCCTTCACAATGCAGTTCTTTATATTTGAACAATCAACTCTATTAGAAATGTATTGCATACCAATAAATATGTGACATTGTTCCGTATAAGTGTTGAATCGGCATAGTTAAGGAGACATTCGAGTAGAAAAGGATATATTTGTTTATTCCATGTTGAAATGTGGGTTTGTCGAATTCTAAAGCTCTGACAATATAAACCCCATCAATGTAATGCCAAATTCAATAAGATGATCTTACACATGATTTTATTCAACAATTAGCTGTGTCCTAATCCCTTAAATGTAAATCATAGTTTTTCTATCTGATCTGTTTGTAAGTCACCTGTTCATAGCGGAAAGACTGACTAATCATTTAATGGATTTAGAGATTATCACAGTTGCTGTATGTGTGGGCTCTTATCGTTAATAAATCATTAAATTATAGTTACAGTGATGAAATATGTTTACTAAGTGTTGTGCCTGTACCTGTTAATCATCAAATAAGAAGCAAACAAGAAGCAAAAGTTAAAACAACAATGTTCAAATCTTAGACATAGATGAGGATTTACATTTCTGCTCTTCATTTATCAAAAAAATGGTGAAAAAAAAAAAATGCCAAACAGGTGGAGTAAAAAAAAAATTGAAGTGAATAAAACATGAAGGTCTGAAAGGGAAATAACCAGACTGTATAGCGGTCATTTAATCATAATAAACAATTCTATTGTTTAAAACCAATCCTTTTCTTTACACTGTGTATTCAAACAAGTCCCCATTTTACTCTCCATGGGGTGACCTCAAAGAGCTGCAGAGGGAAAACATCTGAGCAATGACAAGAACAAACATAAAGAAAATGATCACTGGCTCTTGCTGGAAGGATTTTGAAGAAACAAAACAGCAGTTTAACATTTACATTAAGATAAAAAAAAAAAAAGAAAAAAAAGAAACAGTGGTGAACATCATCAGTCCTTGATCATAACCATGATGCTTCTGGATTGTTTGAATGGTCACTGCAGCTTTTACCACCTGCACTCACCTAGAATTCACAGAAATGTATAAATTACTGCTGGTTAATTGCACTGTTTTGGCAAAGATTCAACATTTTATTTAACAACGGAGAGGAGGTTCAAGTGTCTCAGTTTAAAAGAAGGGGTTCAGACAAACATGTAATCCCTCAACACAGGTTCTAGGTCCATCCTTTTTCACAAAGTTAGGTAAATGCACTTCATGTCCTTGACTTTTCAAAATCCCGATACAAGGCACCCCACAGATTACATTTTCCCATGAGCAGTCACTGTGTGAGAGAGCGGGGATGCTGGACAGGAGAAGGGTGCAACAGGCTGCCAAATGCCTGGAAGTGTGATGGGAGGACAGCAGGTGAGGGATGGGAGACAGACGGCAGGCCAAATTCCAGCTGCATCCCAAATGGGGAGACATTCACACCTCCTTCTTCACCACAGTCAAGACCATCAGAAACAAAAGGTCCACCCCGCATGTGAAGCTGGTAGAAACATGAGCCCTGGAGGTGAGGGTCAGCGTGGCAGGACAGAGGACTCCCGCAGGACCACGGGGAGTTCTGAGGGGAGGGCTGGGACAGAAGCTGATTTGGAGCTGAGGGACAACAAGTGCCTGAGCCAGGGTGCCGCAGGGGATCCATGGGCGGGAGAGAGAAGGGACAGGCCAACAGCTGCTGTGGACATTCGTCTCCACACAGGTCTGACAGCCCCATCATCAGCTCACCATCTGCACAGGTGTACAAGAGATTACAGACACCCCACATGTATCACTATTACTGCACTCCTGCAATCTACAACTGCTTCTTTTGTTCCTATAATGTTCACTTACTGTATGCTTTCATTTAAACTAGCTTTAATATATAAGATAAATAGATAGATTTAATGTATAAATGTTACACTTTGATGAAGAAACTTTTAATCATGGTGTCTGTGTTTGTCTTATTTTTGAAGACAACTGACACAAACATGAATAAAAAGGGGCTACTAAACTAGTTTTTTTAATGACTTTTATTTACGTCATGATATTATTCACATTTTCCCTAAAAGTTGCTAAAAACATGTTTACAAATTGTCTGTTTCACTAGGTCAGCACATGTGCCATACTTGTAACCATATTAATCGACTTTGTTAATTTCCTCTTTAAACTGTTCTAGTGATATATAAGGATTTTGGTTACATTTTGGTTACAAAACAATGATTTTGAATTTAGTTACCATTTTATTTCAGTAGAGATACTTTTTCAGCAGATGTCATGGTAAATATCAAATACACTAAACTGAATTTTAAACACATACAAAAGTCAAGAAGACAAATGCTGAATAATTCTGAAATGTATCTCATATTATCTAAAAGATGACTTTAGTGCAATTACTGCAGATGAGGCTTTATTCCCCTCTACATTCAACTCTGTCCCTCTCAACTCTAACCAGAGTTCAATTTCTGGCTACAGATCGGTTACAGACATTATATCCAATCGACATAACAACATTAATTTTCTATTTCTAATTCAATCTCTCTTTTGCCTTCTTTACCTGCAGGCCCAGCCTGCTTTCTGTGGCCTGTCTGGACCGAGTTCATGGCTTTAATAGAAAGCGGGGAGTCCGTCTTCGCCGGGGACGGCCCTCCTCCTCTGGAATGTCCCCAGATGTGCATGCACATAACACAGATACATGAACGTGCAGACAGCCATGCATAAACACAACAAGACAGACAAAAAGCAAGAAAGTAGCAGGGAAAACAAAGGAGGTGAGACATAAATATGCTTCATCATGGAAATGTGATGTCAAAATAAAAAGCAAACCATGTAATTAAAATAAGACATTTAAAATAACAGAAAATTAAGTAATTTGGAGAATGTGTTGACATGGTATGTTAATGGTTTATATACAAATAGATGGGTGGAGGTCCTCAGCTCTTTTTGATTTTAGTGTTGTTAAAACCACCAAAAACTTCCATGGCAAGCTGTGTATGGGACCGGTTCACTAGATGCTTTAATTACCAAATGAAAGAGCATGATGATAACCTTTCCGTCTCGATGTAACTATTTGATGATTGCTACAATATGACCATTATGGCTGTAACCCTTGCTTCAACGTTGGGTCCATTTTTAGAGAGCAAATTATGGTATCAACTGTTACCAGCGTTTTTGCCAACATAAGGAGCTTGTAAGTGAACACCTCTAAATGTTACCTTGTTTGTCCATGTCCAGGTTCGACTGAGGCGGTAATGGGGACTCAAGCTGCCTGGCAGAGCTGTGAGACAACAAGCCAGCAGAATTGTTGCTGCCCTCAAGCTCCCCAACCTCCCCGTCCTGCTCTCCATCCTCCCTGCAACACATAACACAACCAAATTTAGCTTAGCATGGCGTGTGTCTGACAGTAAAAAGCTGGAGAGGGTGGCAGAATATCAATTAATCAAGACAAAATTGCTAGAAGCAGCCTGTTTGCAGAAGTACATGCCTCTCCACTCTTTACATATATATTTATCTGACAAATCTAGTATTTGGTTTGACTTAAAGGAATATTGTCATTTGTATTCTAACACTACTTACATGCTCCCTGATTGCAGGTTGTACCTCCTGCGGCTGAGCCTGGTGGCCTGTTGGGTAAAGTACTCGTGACGATCCGACTTCTTCCACATGTAGTAATACTCCACACACTCCCCAACAGAGCGTGTTCGTACCTGACGAGGAAGAAAACATTTTGCTTGCTTTGAGCAGCTATTTCATCAGGAAGGTTTGAGCAAAAACTAAAAGGAACGTTTGACTGTACGGTCCCTTCATCTCGTCTCAATACTCACCTTATTGGCCTGAATGAGATGGAAGTTTTTCCCGTAAACTCGATAACCCTGCTCAAAGCTCCTACACTCCTCCTCGCTCCAGGCACAAAGCTCTTCTAAAGGAAGTGAAAAACAAGAGAGTATATAGGCATCACAACATTAGCTTTATTTTACAGTCCAGGGTTTCCCACAGTATTACACTATACCTGTGGTGGTGACAAGGGGGGGGGGGTCTATTGAAAGAAGAACAACATCTTTAATCTGTTCTTCTTGATTCCCTGCAGTTCTCATATCCACCCACACAGCTGCATCTATCCACTTCATCATAAGAACAATTTACAACGTCGCCCAAACAACACCCGTTTTAAAACATTCTCACTGTTATACTAGTAGATCAGTTGAGCCTTGTGTAGGAAGCAGCCATGTACACAAATGATTAAATCAAAGGCATTACGAGGTTCATATTTAACATGAGATCGCTCATAAATCAGTGCATTTAAAGAGGAAGGTAACGGCGGAACATCTCCTGCTCTCCCTCCCTGCAGAACATGAAGACGCTACACTCATCCGTCCACTAGTCTGTCCATCTTAGATGACGATCATATACGGATGGAAAAAAATTGAAACAAATTGGATGTTTAGAAATTATACTTGGGCTGCCTTTGAAGTACCTGTGCGGCCCACCCATATACTGTATAGTGTATATGTGTGGGAAATACTGTAGTCTTTATCTTTTTCTTACTCTTTGAAATGGCTAGTCAATGTCTAGGTTTGCCTGTATTTTGTGTTGATAAAGCTAGCTGCAGAAAAGTCAGATGAGATGTCTCTCAAAAAATAAAAAAGTTTTTTCAACTCCACTACAGCAAAGATCTTGGAGTAGAAGTGAAGCTTCACCGCTGAACAAGAGGTCAGTAGGTCAGATCAGTGAACTCTTCCTCTTTAGGTGAGCGGGAGTCATCAGCTGGTGTTGAATTTATTGTATAAAATCAGATTAACAAATTCCGTGGTACAAATGAATTCCAAGGACTCAAGTATTCATTTTCACATAGTACTTTGCAGACTATTGAGCTCAACGCATGACCTCAGGCTCCCTTAAGCTGTGGGTGGTGTGTGTGTTCATACCCTGCATCTGTAACTTTACTTGATGGATTTTCTGGAACATGTCTCTTCATGAGGGAGTTTTCTTTAAACTAGTGGACAAGCTAATGCCTTGCTTTTTTCAATAAAATTATATTCTTCTCTTAGTTTGTCACTGAATTGCTCAACTCAAACCTCAGGAGTCAAACAGAGGAACATTAGTTTCTCAGCTGGGAGAAGTCAGAAATATGTATGTCGTGAAATTTACTTTAATTGAAAACAGTGACATGTAATTATAAATATTTTTTATTATTAGAGAAGTGTTGAATCTGTTATTGTCACTTGTGTTTTTAGTGGACTATAAGTGTAGGAAAAAGTACAAACAGGAAGTTTCTTACCACTTAACACTTTCACATTGAAGTTCAACCGTCTAAGTGCTTCTTCTGCATTAAAGTTGCATTTCACTAGTTCATACAGGGCCTGTGAATGAAGAGATTGGGAAGGTTAGACTCCATTGTTGAGGTAACAGGAGTGGGCCATTGTTGCTTTTTGTCACAGAATGGCTGCTGACAAAGATTGAACAAGGCAGGTGAATTAAAATGAAGCAACTTAATGATTAAGCGTAACATTACATTTTCCAATTTAAAAGGGACCTTACCTGTTCATTGTCTTGGACAGTGTCTCCTTGTGTTCGTAAGCATGCTGCCCCCTCCTGGCCACGCGATCTCTGTGCATACAACAAGAACTCCTCCACTTCCTGCATGGGTAGAACATCTGGCCTCCACAGCAACTGGTCCTCACTGCTGTAGGCTAGAGCAACACAGGAATGTAAAGATAATGAGGTGATAAGCAGAGAAAGGGGCAGGGGACAAGATGGGGGGTTGAGAAGGGTAGAAGGGCAAGAAAACTGATTAAGAGTAAGACAAAAAGACAGATTCTGATGGAGATGATTCCACATCTCAATCAGATTCTACACAGAGGAGCTATAATCACCAGAAATGAGCAGGTGCATAAAGCACAAGAGACATAATAAATACTGAAGAACAGTTAAACCTGTTTCCTCTACCAGTAATGAATGATCTTTTCAGCTGCTTACCTCTGTCCTGGTAAGCATATGGACAAAGTGGAGGGATTTTTGCTTGGTACATAGAGCCCACCATGATCTCCTAAGGAAGAAAACAAATACAGTCTGTAATGGTTTTGAAAGTTTCATACATGACTGAAACATTTTGTGAGTTGCATGTGGCTTTAATGGTTCTGTTGAAATCTGATCATTTGTTTTATGACAGCTTTTCTGTGCAATTTACTCTCCATTAATCAAATCAGACTCCATCAGAATCTACAATAGGATTATAGAGTCTAAGTTAGAGTCAGAGTGAAGCTGTAGGTGTGAATTAAGTGATGTAAGTGATCGTCCTCAGTGGTCTACCTTGTGCTCTTCATTAGAGGGAATAGAGGCATCGTCAGAGTCTTCATCTGATGAGCTGACTAATTTGTCTTTGTCTCCACCTGAGAAACAAAACATCAGAGAGGAGGATGAGGCTTTCATTTTAAAAAAATTATGTTAAAATATTTAACTTCAAATATCTTCAAATAATCTCTACCTATTTTAGTTTCCAACAACTCTTAAAACAATTCTGAAAGTGAAATAATTAAATGCTAATTTAAATCTGTGGTTTTTCATGTGAAACTCAACAAAGACAGCAGTCAGTAGCTCTGAAATGACTGATAGACAGGATGAACATCAAAACAACTATAACAGAGAGAACGGTCTATATGCCTTCATAAATCAGTCATGTTACAGTTTCTCACAGTGTCTTTTTTATAATCATAAAAGTGCATCTAAGGATGCACTGAACAAATTATTAAAAATATTATATATAGTTTTATAATATAAATATTAAAAAGCATTTATATGATCTTAAATTGGTATTAAACACAGATAAAACCAAGCTCATGGTTTTCCCTCATACAAAGGTGCTACCACAGAACATTACAAATATTGTAACATCTAAAGGAAAACCTATAGAACAGGTTTTAAACTACAAGTACTTGGGTTTTATCCTAGATCAGAAGCTTTCATTTAAAGCTCATATCAATAATCTGGTCACTAAATTTCACATTAAGCTTGGGTTCTTTTTTAGAAATAGAACCTGCTTCTCTCTCAGGGTCAGAAAGAAATTAGTGACAGCAACCTTCTTGCCCATTCTTGATTATGGGGACCTGCTTTATTTGAGTGCGTCATCCAAATGTCTCAAGTCCTTGGACACTATTTTTCATTCGGCACTGAGATTTGTCACTGGCTGTAGTCGTCTCACCCACCATTGTGAATTGTATTTGAAATCAAACTTGCCTTCTTTGAGTGCACACAGATACGCACATGACCCTAATCTATAAGGCTCTTTTAGGCTTGATTCCTTTATATTTTATGTGCTTTATTACAGAGAACAAGCAGTCGCTATGCCTTGCGTTCTTGTACTACACTTGTTCTTTCTGTTCCTCGGGTAAGGACTGAATTAGGAAAAAGAGCTTTCAGCTTTGCTGCCCCCTCGGCATGGAATACTCTACAGACTGAATTAAAACTCCCTGAACTTATTCCACTTGGAGCTTTCCGTTGTATCTTGAGGGACAGACAGCGTGAGACCATTGAACAGGGCCTGTGTTTTTAAAATCTTAAATTGTTGTTTTATTGTTGTGTCACAGCTCCCACACTTTCTTTTTATTGAAAACACTATATTGTGAAGCTATACTGTCACTTAATTGTAACTTTTCTTTTGACATGTGATGCTGACCTCTTGGCCAGGTCACCCTTGTGAAAGAGATCCTGATCTCAATGGGTTCTTCATCTGGTTAAATAAAGGTTAAATAAAATAAATAAATAAATAAAAATAAAGTATGTTTTTGAGGTCACAGTACCCTAAAAATACAAATTAAATTTCATCCTTCAACAGTGCCTGAATTTCGGCATGGGGTTGCAAAGATCGCACACAAAATATTAAAATTCCTCCAAGTCTGGCTCTCAAAATACAGAAATATTACACTATATTTATGCAGTTCCTCTGGATGTTATATAAATGTTTGCACAGTTAAGTGCAGGACAGTCTAGTTGGAAACGGCACATCAGAATGAACCACATAAGTCTAGATCACTTGCACGCTGGCTTGCCTTTTCTCCCGCTCCTCAACACAAAAAAAAAAAACTGGGCGACCCCAGGTATAGTTGCCAGCCATTAAAATATTTGTATTAATTTTTTATCTACATAAGATCACCATCCGCTAATGGACAGTCTACTGTTACTCTGTACTGCTCGCAAATGTCTTTCTAGTAGTATCTGAAGCGCATGCACTGAATTCCACACCGTTTGGATTGTTACGATATGCTGTATGCTATTATTGAGGCTCGCCTACATGGTGACAATGGAGGGTTCTTTGCTGTTGCTGACTATCGTCAAAAGATCACATACGCAGGTATAGAGACAAGGTAGAAGATGGAGCGGGATAGAGAAGTGAGTGTGTGTGCGCATGTCGGTAATAGAACTGAAGGAAAGCTCGGGGAGCAGATTAAATTTGCTTGTAAACAAAACCAAAACTAAGTTGCAGATTAAAGCATAATTAAAGGCTTAATATTTGATTTTTCACACTTAAATATAACAGAAATCAAGTATATCCTCTGAAAATCAATCTGTGAGTCATGACTGTCTACAGTGGGTGTAACACCCGAGTCCCACTGTCTGTGATGCTTTCTGAGTCCTATCTTCACTTTGTTTACGTCGCCCGGACGGCTGGCCGACTCCTCCCCTCACATATAAAAGTTGTTTAATTGAGGGACTAGAGAAAAGAAGAATAACATACTGTATTCACTGCTTAACTGCGTTTCTAGATCATGGTTGTTTCGGGTAAATTTACATGCAGTGTGAAGATACGAGCTTAATAAAGATCGCTAGCATTAGCATGCTAACACAACAATGAATTGTTTTGGTTTCATACTGGTGCTCAAGGGGCAACTGGATCAAAAAAATCACATATAAAGCCTTTAACTAAATACATAATATGATCTATTATAAATCGAGTAATGTAGCCTATTTCTTAGATGATTGTTGAATGGCTATGTAATTTGTTTGGGAAAAGGCTTCAGTAAAATACTATATAATTCCTTTGGATACTTCTTATACTAATGACATAATGCCAGACATGTCAACCAGACATGATCATGATCCATCAGAAACATTTATAAAGCAGTGAAAAGACAGAATCGGCCTCATAAACGATAGTCTGCAGAATAGAGGATATATGAAGCTAACTGAAAAAAAGGTCTTTTAATTATCAACAATATTGCTCACTCTGAATCTTTTTGTGGAAGTTGTAATCAAATACATTTTTGGTCTGTGTGGTCTGACATTGATCTAGTGGCAGTGATGTCAAGCCTTAAAATACAAATACAGAAATAAATAATATATAATTACAAGCTAATATTAACAAGCTTCTGACCCCCCCCCCCATGTGAAGGCCCTGCCTACATTAAAAGTTGACACCTCGAGGTGTTGCTAACTAAATAATCAGAATTCTGTCTTATTTGGGATTTGTGTGGAATTTTCTTTGTAATCATTGGCAAATTAAAATGTAAGTTTCGGACACAAAAAAGTTTTGTGAGGTCATAGTGACCATGACCTTTGACCAATTTACTTCACTCATGGGTCATGTGAACTAAGTTCCAGCTCTGTAATGAAATACTCTCAAGAAGTTCCTGAAATATTTCATTTATGAATATGTGACAGACAAGGGGTCAAAGTAAACTAAACGTGTGACCACCTAATTCTAAACTGGGCAATATATTAAAGAAACCATATGTTCATTCAATCCCTCCATGATTTTTAAGGGATACTAAGCAGCAAACCCATCACATACTCAGAATTTATCATTTTCTATGGATTCATCACAAATACTGTGGCTGTTTACATTGAATCCCTACTTATGAAAGGCTGTTTATTCTAAGAAGCCTATTCAGTTCAGAAATACTTTAGTTTCTTTGACATCCTTTAGGATGAGACATACAAGGCAGTTATTTTAGTCCCATGAATTACAAAAAAACAGACAAATCAAAGCTTTCTGCAAGCTCCAGTCTCAGCAAAGCACTGATTTAAAATCAAACAATGAGATAATAAGTCACTGTAAACAAAGTCTCAAGGCAAGTCCTCTCTCAATCAGAAAAGGACCATAGTGTGCATATTCAAATTTTGTTTACTGGAAGAACAGATAAACTTTAAATGTCATGTTCTTATCTGTTAGTATGCTTTGTGTAATTTACCTTGGAGGCGGCAGAGCAGATCTGAGGCGTTTGAGGTGACCGAGGGGGTGAGATCATCGGCTGATGATTCTTCTTCCTCCTCCCCGGCAAAGAGATCCTCAGTTATCTGATCCTGTACAATAAACAAACATACACACATATACATATATACACATAGACATACACACATATGTCAGAACAACACAGCAAAAAAAACAAAAAAAAAACACAAAATACACTAAATGTAATAATAAATACAAATTTCCTGTTCTTTATGATTAACTTTACCTTGTCCAGTGTCATGTCTGGCAGGCTGGCAGCCATGGGACAGGTCTTCTTCTCTGGATCTGAAACTGTGTAGCCGTACAGAGCCAGCAACTCCTCTAAAGGAAGCTCACTGGCCTACAGACAGAGAGATACAGGGGGACAACTGTCGGTTCAAAGATCTCAAGGACAATCTTTAAATGTGAAATGGCAAATATTTCCAAAATGAAACACTTCAAAAGGAATAGACAAGTGATACTTCAATTTTCTCTCAGATTAAGCTTGTTGTGATCAATGCTTCTTGAAAAAGTAACATCACTTTTAAGTGTCTTGAATAAAATAAAAAGTTTGCCAAAATAAAAAAAACACTAGTTTTTTGGTTTGCATTTCGTGACTCTTTAGACACTCTCCAATTTAAAGTCAGTGTAGCTCACCCATCAACCATATCATAACTCTCCCTCCCCGCTATCAACATAAACAGATATTTATCCATTATGGTCGTGAAAAAGTGTTTTTTAATAGAAGTTACACAAGATGGGATGAGAAGATGTTGTATTAGTCTTCAACACCCATAGAAAAAAACAATAGGATTAGGCTATTACTTTTACCGAACATTATTTTTGCATTGGCAATAAGGGCAGCATGTTTTACTTGGGTGTCAATAAATAGACCTATATGAGTAGTCTTCAGGTGAACAAAAGGCTGTCTATATATCGTTTCAAAGAATAGTCATGAGCAAGGTCTTTAAACGTTTAAAATATAGCAGGCTACAGGAAGGGGGAACTGTTTTTAACTTCTGATATTAACAGGCCCAGCCAAGATTGTAATCCTGACACCACACCTGCACTTAATCTAAAAAAACAACACATTTTCATTGAACCACATATTGCACAACGACTTGTGCTTATGTTCTGTTGAATGTTGACACCATTCTGTTTCTGTCCATGTTCAACAGTCTTTGGTCAAACAAAACACTGAAGTAGCCAATACAGTTTTAGGGGAATTCAAGACTGGTCCATGTTGTTTCCATATTTTGACTTAAATATTGTGAACGCGGAGAACAACAGCAAACACTGGAAATTGTACCATCCAAGACAGATGTGCATGCTTTTCTGTTTGTATTCAACTTTTTCTGGGTTCTGTTACATGGGGTGAGGAAGGATTTTTGGTCCTCAAATGACTTATTAAAAAAGAATGTTGTTCACATTTGTGGAAATAATGTTTGCCAGTCTTTCAGACTTTATTTTAAGAATTGAAAACTAGCGCTATATTAAGTTATCATGTTTGATTAGATCAGTAATTTAAATCAAAAAAGAGATTTTCAATAATAAGAGTAGGACTACTCTGACTTTGGGTGTAATAATGTTGGGTCTCCAGATGTCCACAAAATATTTAATATAATGTGGATTAAATATGGTAACTAACTTTTATGTTTGCAGACACAGCTGAACTTGAGCGAACAGAGTGGGACTGCGTTGCCATCTTCATGGGGGGGAAAGTCTGCCTCCAACTCCTCTAAGGCCTGTTGAAACTTCTGCTTCTCCTGCCGATGGCCTCCATCTCTGTTCCTCATCCAGTCTCCTCTAGGCCACAACCTCCACGCTTATCTTCAGGGGCCTCTCACCAACCTACACACACAGACATTAAAAACAGTAATGTAGTCATGTAAAGAAACAGCAAGGGGTGTATAACAATGAACAGACATTCCTCTGTGCAGCTGTGGCCCAAGTGTACACAAAAAACACATGAGGGCTCAGATAGTGGCTGATCCTGCGGCTCATCCCATTACAAATCAGTTGACTCCTGGCTCTGAGGCCGCCCTTTATGACCTAGAAGACCTGCTGCAGGGTCATACATGGACTGCCAGTGACACAAAATTCAAACTTTAAAATTCCTTACTTTATAGATTACTTGACTCTCCAACAGAATGATCCACAACTTCCTACATCTTTTGTTTGTTTGTGCTTTGATAGATTTTAAAATCACAGCAGAGCAAATTGCAGGTTTAATACGCCTAAAGGGACATTTATCTTCTACATAAACATGTTTTTTTTTTTATATATATACACAAGTTCAAGCCAAAAAGATTTAAGTCAAAGTGTGACGCAAGTCTCTGATGAAGGCGTACAAGCTGGGACCACATAGAGGTGAAAAAAGTTCTAGTAGTAGCCAACAGGACAGGCTGTAAAACCATATTCACAATCCCAGACAAGTTCACACCGAGTTCCTACTAACACTCGTTGAACTATAATGCTGACGAAAGCTTTACTGGGCAAATAAGTTGTTAAAGTTGGATAAAACCCCAAATATTAATGCAACGTGCCTCTCCCAACCCATCGGGCGCTGTCTGTCTGACCAGGGGCGCTTTCCTGTGACTTGGTGCTGAACGTCTCTTCCTCTCCCCGGCTCACTACGAGTAGCAAGAAGGAAATAACTAGTTCTCATTTTTTCCGAAAGAGTTTACCGCCGCCGAGTCGTGACATCTCCTCGAACTTTTTGTTTTAACTCAATCCACTTCGTCGCCGGGACACACCTGAAATAGTTCAGCACCACTGTATTAAACCCTGCCGGGCTCCCTTTTGTCTCCCCGGCTTTACTACCAAGGCAGAGGGAATGGCTCTTTAAAGCCAAGAACGCGGAGAGAGGCGATACGCTGGAGACGTTCTCCATTTCTCCCTCCGCTTCCCGGTTAAAATGCCCCGTAGTAACCCTCTTTCAGGTGGTGCTCAACGGCGAGTAAAACCATCGACAGTCATGCATACCTAACGGAGTGACACAAGTCTTAAATACGGTCCAGTTTCTCTATCATTCGGGTCATAACAATTCTCGTTTTCGCTCACTTACCTCCGCCATTCCGTTTCTGCGCAAGCTGACTATTGCCCGGATGTTGTAGGTCTGCTTCTCTGCACAGCTCCGTTTATTGCCGCAACGACTCAGCAACAGCGACTGTGCTACACTTTAGGTGCGGAGTTATATTGTTCATTTCAAAGTAATTTACTCTCTTTTTTAAGGCTTTACAGCTCGCATTAAATTTTTTTTAAAAAAACAAACTATTTTTAAATAGTTTGTTTTTAAAGTTACCCCTCACTCTCGGAATAAATTGTTAAATTCGACTTCCATATTAAAATTTGTTATTTAAAAAAAAAAACGTTTAGGCAAATAGGCTATTTGAAGCAGGCTACGTAAAATGAATTAAGATGAAACCGGTGTCATTTACCAGTTTCTCTTGAAGATGATATGCTAATTAACCTCAAACTTGTTGTCATTGAATGTAGAAATGAAAGCATGCAATCTGCAACATCTTGATGTAAGCTATGGTGTATGGGGGCTACAGGCTCGTAGTCTATAGGCTGTATGTGAGATGGTGAAGGGACAGAACACGATCTTCAGAGAAAGATGAAAGTCTGTCCTCATCCTGTGACAGCTATCATGAGATACCCGAGGCAAAGTTAATGCATGTTGACCACATGTGACACAGTTCGACCACAATAAGCAAACACTGATCATATGATGATGATTCATAAAAGATACCCCACTTAGAAACAGTATAGGCCTATGAAGGCCAACAGAGTTTTACATCCTATATAAAACAGGATAAAGAAAAAAGTACATGATATTAACTTCAAATATTATGGACCTTCATTTTTGGAGTTTCCTAACATGCAAAATAATTTACACATGAATCCAGTTTACTTAACAGGTCAAGTTAATAAAGACAGAATTTTTTCTGAAAGGCATCACACTGATCTTATTAGTTCGTCTACAGCTGGATCTTATTTAATACATACTTGTTTTAGTCCCTGTGTAGATAAAAGCTACAGAGCTTTCTTGCATGTTGTATGTGTAGATGTATGTTCTTCTACTTCAAGTTGATGTTATTTCGTTTAAAGTGTATAAAGGTTAAAATAACAAATGTAGCTCACTCATAAAGTCCTATTGCATAAACTTAATTAGGGCTTGATCACTGAAATAACTTCACATGCTTTTCAAAACATTCCCTTATTCTCCTTAAGGCAGATATAGTTGTTATTTTTTGTACTTCACTTCAGTGTTTATTATTAAGAATAGACAATGTGCAAAGGGGGGGGGGGTTGCCCTTTTCAAAAATAGGCTATTGTAAAATGCTCTCCAGTCAACAAGACTTATTTTCCAACTGTTCAGTTGTCAACATCACCTCAGCCATTGGGTGCCAGAAGGTATTGCAGAGAAAAGAACTTGGTTCAACAAAAGGCTTAAGCACACAAAGCAAACAGGACAAAGCACATTTAGTTGTTTGGAGAGTATACCTGCACGTTCTAGCCTTTCTAACTGTGTCAGGTTTGGTCTATTCATCAGCCTAGAAAAATTAATGAATTTCATAAAAGGTTTGTTACGTGTCACAAAATAATTTTGGGTTTGTTCTCTAAAGTGTGTGTGTGTGTGTGTGTGTGAGTGTTTGTGTGTGTTTATAGTTAAGTTATAGGTCACTCTGAAAGTAAGCTGATCTAAATTGCTTTCATTCTTAGGTGCATTACGGTTAAAGAACTGTAGATGTTTAGTTGGTTGTGTTTTATACTGCACAGTAAGCATTTCAACACATAAAAGCAGGACATATTGTTCAAACAACAGACAAAACCTATAGTAGATATCAATTCAGAGCCACACAATTGTTTTTCTGTGAAGTCAACAGGTAAACAAAAAGTTGCTGACCTGAATAGTGGAGAGACAAATAAAGATGTTTTAAATAACAAGAAAAATCACACAAGCATCTGAAGTTCATCAGCAAATAAACATAACTCATGCTGCTGTATCACACAAATAGTTATTTCCACATGTGAGAGGTCACTGTGTTAATCTGTCCGAATCAGGACAGTATATGAGCAGTTCATTAACAGTCAGCCCCTCCCTCATAAAGAGACCTCTCCTCTCTTTATTACCCCCCAGTGAAAGGGTTTTATAGGGTTTAGTAGGAGCCCTTTGTATCTCTTGTTTCTTTGGGGTATTTTACTATGTGTTTTTTTGTGTGAATAAGAAAAGAACTATTCACAAAAGTGCAACTGAATGTGTTTGTGGGGTATGTTTTTTGCAAGAGCAGAAAGAAGGTACATGGGCATCACTTTTCTATTACAGGCCACCCATGTAGTTTTATTTTTTTGTTTGATATGCATGCTTAACAATATACCATGCACAAAAATATTGACAAAAAAAGGAAAAAGACAAGAGGCTTACATAGAAGGGTATATGATGTGTCTTTTGCAATAAAGGTAAGAATGAACTAATATAAAAGTTTTGTTATTTTCTTTAATTATTTTGTGTAATTACAGACAAAAATGGAAATGTTAAACAAAAGGAGTTGCAGTGTAAGAACTTCCCTAGATATTGTTTTTCTTCAGAAATTGCAATATATTTGAAAAAGGTATCGGAAGAAAGCAATAGTTCAATGTTAAAGAACACTAACATACTATACAGTAGTTTTCAAAGTAGTGTGCAAAGTGTTACTCTGTTCGCCACACCATCTTTTAAACATGCTTTTTGTTTGCTCTTACCCTCCATTCTTCAGTCCTTTCTCATACTGAAATGAAGATGGAGACTTGAGAACATCTGCAGATGCAGGAGGGGCTTTGGCTTGTTAACCTGCTAGATGCTGCATTGAAGAAATCAGAGTACAGAGTTCAGCTCACATTAGGTATGGTTCCATGATAAACTCCATTCATATGAAATTAAGAAATAACTACAATTCTGCTTTGAGATATCCTTGATGACGGCTCGCATGTCGAAACGATGGCACGTAAATAGTGATCACCTTCCCAATATGCAAATACAAACAAATAAGATATGTAATAATAATGTATACTTTATTGATCTCACGAGGGGAAATTTGTTTTTACACTCTGTCTAGTTAACATGCTACACAAACATAGGCTGAAATACACACACATGCACAAACAAGATCCTATGGACATGCACTAATGGAGAGATCTCAGAGTGAGGGGGCTGCCTGCAGTGGGCGCTCCTGAGCTGGTGGGGGGGTTAGGTGCCTTGCTCAGGGGCACCTTGGCAGTGCTCAGGAAGTGGACTGGTACCTCTCCAGCTACCAAGCCAATTTCTGGACTTGGCCTGTGCTGGGACTTGAGCCAGTGACCCTCTGATTCCCAACCCAAGTCCCTACAGACTGAGCTACTGCCGACCCCCCAAGATGACATTTCCTGTCCAGATATTTGCCTATATTGAAGGATTTCTCTGTGTAGACCAATTGGAACGAGGATTGACCTTTTCCTGGATCCACCAATGACTGATCTCTGATCTTGTCAGAGTTACCATGGCAACCACTGCTGTCATAAGAGTGAGTGATTTTACTGACATTTCATCCCTAACCATAAAAACACAATAAGATCCCATGAGGCATATAAGACTTCTTATGACACTTCATATGACTGTGTATGACTCACATGTGATGTCTTTTCAATGATAGGAAATGTTAATGGATCTTGATGTGATTTAATGTGCTGTACTATAATAGTGACAAGTTAAATACCATACCAGTCAATAATAACCATATATAAACAATGAAAAGCAGAAAAAAATGTGTTCACTTTCTTCAAGTAATCAAATGTTGCTTTTTAGATTTAATGTCAGCAACATTGAGAAAAAATGTCAACACAATCTTCACAGACTTTAAAGGGATACTTCCCCCATTTGCATTAAGCGTTGTATCAGTAGTAAACTGGTAGTATTTTTAAATGGTCGTGCATCCAGCCCTAATTTACTCCTGAGACTGGAAAGTTCTGTATTTCTGAGTCTGAAAAGGAGCTTCCAGTGACGCAAATATCGTCATATTGCGTCACTGGAAGCTGTTGGGGTTAGCGGTGTGAAACTACAACGCTAGTTCCTCATATTTTCGACCACTGAACCTACAGACCAATCACAGATCAGTGTGTGGGAACTCACTCCCAGAATCGAAACTTAACGTCCGCCATATTGCTCGAAAGCTATGCTAGCAGGCTCTATGGAGAAAGCTGATAATGGCGAAAAAATATAAATATAGCGGAGAGACGGCTGCTGCCGATAGGCCGGTCTTGTGCTTTCGCTGGCCGCTGGGGCCACTAGCGCTGGCCACCAGGGCCGTCGCTGACCGCCGGGGCGACACAAGACTGGTCTGTCGGCAGCAACCATCTCACGGCTATATTGCTGGCCACCGCTGGCCACTGCCAGCTCAGCAGCAGAGACATAAGGCCTGCCTGTCGGCGGCGGTGAGGACGAGAAGCCGCCTTGAGCCGGGGCGGACTGGTAGTGTTGGTGCTCTCACTGTTTGTCTATGGACACAGACATAGAGTCTGTTTTCTGACAGGAATTTCCAAGATCAATTCTGGAAGAAATCTCTGAATCAGTTGAGGAAATGACCTCATGTGTTGAAGTAAATATGTCTGTAAATGTTTTTATTAATATATTTCTACTGCTATATTGTATGTTTTGGAGAAACTGTATCGATCGAATTTCCCTCTGGGATTAATAAAGTATTTCTGATTCTGAAATCGAGGACCTTAGTGGGCGTGGCCTGCAGTGCTGTGCATTCTGGGATTTGGTGTCTTTCATCCACATGAGCCAAAAAGACACTTTCTGCCTTTTCACGGCCAAGAAGGCACCAACTTCAACATTTATTTCATATTTCTACTACATATATGACCCAATGTCAATACGGTTTCATGTTTCAACAGGTGAAGTATCCCTTTAAGAGAAGGTGAAATACACTTATCATGTAACTTGTAATGTTACTTATCATGGACTAGGGTGATATTATTTATAGGCATGCACCTGGAACAACGCTTAAACGTCTCGAGTCTGTCTACCACTCTGCATTAAGATTTATTACAGGTGACCCCTATGATACACATCATTGTATCTTGTACAACAAGGTTGGATGGTCATCTCTAACAGAAAGA